CCGACCGCGACGCCGCCGACGCCGCCGGCCGCACGCCCGCGCACGCCGCCGCCGCGGGCGCGGCGCCGGGCGCCCGCGAGGCGCTGGAGGTGCTGCACGGCGCCGGCGCCGACCTGTGCGCGGAGGATGAAGAGGGCGACGCGCCCTTGTTCGATGCGGCGGCGGCGCGCTGCGAACAGGGTCTTGCTGTGCTGGACGCGCTGCTCGATATGGGGGTGCCTCTTGATTTGCAGGACGACCGGGGCCGGTCGCCCCTCCACCGCGCCGCCGAGCGCAGCAGCGCGCCCGCGGCCGCGCGGCTCCTGGCCAGAGGCGCGGCAGTCGACAGCCGGGACGGCCTCGGGCGCACGCCGCTGATGGTGGCGGCCGGGGCCGCGGGGCAGCACTGGAGCAGCGGCGGCGGCGGCGGCGGCGGCGGCGGAGGCGGCGGCGACGACGGGGACACGGGCGCCGGCGCAGTCGTTCGGCTATTGTCGGACAACGGGGCAGACATCGAGGCGAGGGACGCTGGTGGCCGCACCGCCCTCTTCTTCGCCGGCCCAGTCGCCGCGCCCGCCCTGCTCGCGCGCGGCGCCGACCCCGGCGCCCGCGACGCCGAAGGCGCGACGCCGCTTATGTTGGCCTTGCTGCGCCGCGAGTGGCGCGTCGTCGGCACCCTCATGGCCGCCTGCCCCGCTGCTGCCGCCGCCGCCGACCGCGACGGGCGCACGGCGCTGCACATCGCAGCCTCCCGCGGCGACGCGCACGTGGTCCGCCTGATACTCGACGCCTGCGGCGGGCCCGAGGCCCGCGCCGCGCTCGGCGCGGCGCGTGATGCGAAGGGGCGCGCGCCCCACGAGGTCGCGGCGCGCTGCCCGCGGTCGGCGGTGCTGCAGGTGCTGCTGGAGCGCGGCGGCGCCCGCGCGCTCGTGGCGAGCGACGGCGGCCGCGCGGTCGGGCTGGTGGCAGCCGCGGGCGACGAGCAGTCCGCGCTCTCCATGGCCCTCGCCGGCGCCGCCATGCCGCAGCCGGAAAGCTGCCGGCCCGGCGGCTGGGCGCTGGCGGCGCTGGCGGTGGGGGAGCTGCGGGCGGCGGCGGGGCAGCGGGACGCCGTGAGGGCCTTGCTGGTCGCCGTGGCGGGGGAAATGCAGCGGCTGCAGCGGCTGCGGGCGGGGCAGGCGGGGGCCGAGCAAGCCCAGCACGCCAGAGAGGGCAGCGCTGAAGCGGACGCGGCGGCAGCGGAGCGAGCGGCTCAACTGCACCCGCGCGCGGGGCAGGTGCAGCAGGGGCGACACGAGCACGAGGGTGCGCCCCCCAACGGCGCGGCGGCGGCGGCGCCGCCGGCGGCGTCGCCGGCGTCGCCGGCGCGCAGCGACAACGCGTCTTCCTCTGGGGATGACATGGCGCCGCCGCAAGGGGGCGCGGCGGGCGGGTCGTCCGGGAACGAGGAGGAGCGTTTGGAGCGGCGGCTGCGGCGGCTGAGGCAGGAGGTCGCCTCTGAGGAGCGGCGGCTCAAGAGGCTTAGGAGGAGCGCAGGCCACGAGGGGCCCGGCGAGCAGCCAGGGGGCGGCGGCGGCGACTGAGCAGCTCCCGTCGAGGACGCGCCAGGCTTGCTGCAACTTGCTTTAAAAAGCGGGGGCGTCCGTCGGCGCGCGCAATGCTCCCCCGCGCGCGCTGGTGCCCCGGCGTTTCATCAACAACTAATCTACCGGCTGTGTATCAGCCGCACTCGGCGCCGCAGTTGTGCCGCCAACTACGTGCACAGTGGTGCCATTCCTGCATGTATGTGTGATGTGGCACTTTGAGGCAAATGACAACAGACCCTTGCGATGTGCGTCTGCACAACCTCACTTGGATAAGGAAACAAGAGGGGCCTTGAGAATTGCATGTTTGGCTCTGAAACGCGCAAGCTCATTGTACACATTCAACTTCGGTGCGCGTTTGTGAGCAATTATCATGACTACGCACTTGTTTCAAATGCGGAACTACAATAACAGAATCCCATCCCTGTGTATGAAGCACCGCTGCCGCGGACGTTTGTACTGCTGCTGCTGCTGCTGCTGCTGCTGCTGCTGCTGCTGCTGCTGCTGCTGCTGCTGCTTGGTGCCTTGCACGCGTTCTGTGACCCTCAACGTATCATCATACACACACATGACGGCCACAGTGGTGTAGACTGTCCCCTGCTGCGTGGCAGACGCACCGGATCGCCTTGAAGAATTCTAAGTCTCTAAAGCCCCCTGCCTGCCTTACCTGCTGGTCCCACCTGACAGTGAACATTTGTTGTGTGCCGCGTTGTAAGATGGGTGGACGGAATCCTCGATGTGCGTGTATATCACCTGTGCGCCAGATGAGCGGCATCAAATAGGAATAGCTCACACCTGGGGTGGTTCGTTTGGGGGTGGTGACAGATACATACAACAGAATTGCAGTGCAGCCTATACATTGCCAGGCGGCCCGCCAGCCTGCCTGCCCGCACTCTTAACTGCCAGCCTACCAGCCTGAGTTTGGATGGCTGCCTGCCTGCCTTCACGATGAGGTCAGCTTTCAAGGAGTTTTGATGGTTCTGAGCACTATGGTTCAGCCAGGCCGCAGCACACAGCATTCACCACCATGCAGACCACCACCATGTGGCACCACCATGTGGCTCTGCGTCCTTCCCCAGGGGGCCGCCCAATCTCTCTATCCTAGATCCCCTCTAGCTTGAATGGCCACTCTCTCTTTCCCTTCAGCTCTAGCGATCAGGATCACTGCGAGCCGCCCGGGGCAGCAGTGCCCCGACAGCAGTGGCTAGTGCCCACAGTTCATCGACTGGTATGCTGGTGTTCTACCAATTCGATGCTGTTCTAACGCGTGCAAATCTACGGTCATAATCTCTTTGGCATTGTGAGAACAACCCGGGACCACGTTGGACGAGTCGAGATCCAGCTGCAATCGGTCACGCAGTGGGATCGTGTCAGACTGAGATAGTCAGGTGCGCCCACACGGTCGACCTGACAAGGGCCACGCGCTGCCCGTGCCCTGCAGGCTCCCTCCCTGTGCCCCTGCTGTGCACCAAGCCTCGGCCGACGCCACCCAAGCAAATGGCTCGTCCACACCCCATCTGCCCCAAACCCCACCCCGGTCCCGCGCAAACGCGGCATGTACGTCAGCCACAAGGCCCGCCATGCTGGACAAGCTGAGCTCAGAGCTGCTGGCGCGCGTGCTGCGCCACCTGCTGCCGCAGCCGCACGACGCGGCTGCGTTCCGGCGGTGCTACGTTCGCTGCGGGGCCGAGATGGGCCCTCTCCACGCCGCGCGGCTTGTGTGCCGCGCGTCCGCGGCGGCCGCGCGCGAGCATCTGGCGGCAGCAGTCACTCTGACGCCGCGCAACACCAGGCGCAGCCGGGCAACGCCTGACTGGCCGCGCTTCCCCGGGCTGCGCGTCGTGAGGGTCGAGGGCTGGAATCCCAAGACTGCCCCTGTCGTGCTGCCGCGAGACGCCGAGCAGCTGCTTGGCGCATGCTTCGGCTACGCGCCCGCGGACGCCGGCGCGCCGCTCAAGGGCTTCGACCCAGGCCACCTGTCCCGCGTGACGGTGCTCAAGGTCGTGCGAAGCGACATCTTCGTGGACCACCTCGCTTCGGCGCTCGCGCGGCTGCCAGCGCTGAAGGCCGTGACCATCATCGGCGGCGTGCGCTCCGCCAGCAAGGTCTGCCGCGCCCTTTCGGGCGCCACGGGCCTGGAGCGGCTCGCCCTGCCTGACGTGCCGGCGGACGCTGCCCTCTGCGCCGCGGCCGGCCTTGACGGGCTGTCACGGCTCGAGGCGCTGACTTTGGGCCAGCTGAATTTGGAAGTCGGGTCCCTGCCAGGCGGTCTCACGGCGGTTGCGTTCCGCAGGCAGTTTGAGATCGGCTATCACCAGCCGGTCTGTGCATGGCCCGCGCTTTTCGACGCCGCCTCTCGCCTGGTCGAGCTGCGCGGTGTGCACCTCGAACTCGACACGGCGGCGGCGCTCGCGCGGTCGGCGCCACGGCTGCGCGTGCTCGTCTGCACGCCAATGGGGGCCCTGTGGGCGCCGCCGCGCGCTGGCCCTTGGCCGTGCGTGTTCCCGTGCATCACGCACGCCTGCTTTTTCAGCCGATACGAGGCGGCGGCGGCCGACATCCGAGCGGCTCCATTGCCAGCAATGCTGCCTGCGCTCGAGCAACTTGCCAGCACCGACGTGCACCCTTACCCGAGCTTTGTCGGGCTGACCGGCCTCCGGGCGCTCTCGCTGAGCGACGTCGAGTTTGACCCGTTTGACGTGGAGGCGGTACAGTGGGATGCGCTTGGGGCACTGCCGCGGCTGACCGAGATGGACGTATACCTCGACCCACGGGACCCCGTGCAGCTGGCAGGGCTGGTGCGGCTGACCAACCTTGAGGTGTTGAAGGTGACCGTCATGGCGTTTGCCCGGTCTGACGAGGTACACATTGACATGGGCGCTGTTATGGAGGCCGTCGCCTGCCTACCACTGCTGCACACGGTGCAAATCAAGGTGCAGCAATTTGAAAACGGCAATTGCATGGTGAAATGGGGCTTGAGTGGCCTCAGGCGGTTCGCGCACGGCGCGCCTGCACTTCACTACTTGTCGATTCAGGTCAATGAATGGGGGGGCGTGCCGGCGCCGGTTGTGGGAGCCCTGGCGATGCACACGGGGCTGCGGCGCCTGCTGGTTGACTGCTCTCACGAGGAGCCGAGCGCAGTGGATGCGCTCGCGGCGGAGGTGTCGGCGGAATGCAATTCGCTGACCATTGAACCGTATAGCTCATCATGCCTCGTGCAAGTGTGCGCGTGGCGCGAGGGGGCGTGGGAGGATTAGGATTAGGATTGTTGCAGCGTCCCGCGGTCGCCCGCTCCTGGAGCCATCCAGGCTCATGGGATTGAATAGTAATGGGAGGATGAGTTGTGGGTAATCTGGGTGGTGGCAGGTTGGCGCAGGTCGAGCTTTTGCCCTGTACCTTGGCACTGGCCAAGAGCTGGGAGGGCGATGGGGGACGGGAGGACCTGACGGGCTCACCACTTGCCAGCTTGCAGGCACGCCGCACGCAGGTCGGTGCTTGCCTCTTGAACTGAGAGTGGGCACATTTGATGACGCCAGGACCAGGGACTGCTGTGTCACTCCTATCAGTTTTTGCATAACGGGACCCTGCTGTGGCTGCCCCTGTCCAACTGACAGAAAGGGTCCTTTGCAGCACCAGTTCATTACAGTCCCTGTATGTGTGTCAGGACTCTGATCTTGCAGGTGCCAACGCAAAGATTGCCCGCCCGCCCGCCTGCCTGCCTGTCCGCGTGCGTGCCTGCCACCCGCTCGACTGCTGGCCTACCAGCCTGGCCGTACGTGACCAGGCGTCTACCAACCTGTCCGCCTCTGGGATAAGGTCACAACTTAAAGAGTGTCGAGCACTGATCAGCCAGGCCGCATTATGCGCATGCAGCAACATGCAAACCACTTGCTCTGCATCATCTCTACCAGGGATCTGTTTATCTTGACATGCCGCTGGCACGCTTTCTTGTCCCCCAGCAGTAGCGACCAGCAGCATTGCGAGCCGCCCTGGGCAGCAGTATGTCAGTGGTGACCACGATCGCATGGTACTGTGAGCTGGTGATCTCCCAACCTGCTCCCAACTCGCCGCTGTCCTCAAAACAATTACTCCCAAGGAGGTAACCAGCCCAAACAGTTGCTTTGTAACAGTATCCGCGTGTGCACTATCGGAGTGTGCAACGGGCTGGGTGCCTCCAAGCAGTAAGCACAGTGAGCATGGCAGCTGCCGCAGTGCAGGTGCCAAGGGTGCAGGAGTGCAGCAGCACGGACTGGAGCCTGTGTGATCCCGATATCAACAATAATCATAAGGAGGATCTTGCAAGTGTAGGTTCATACGCTCTATTTTAGTGTGAGAACAACCCGTGACCACCACCACGTTGGGTCGAGCCAAGTATTAGCTCAGACTGACAGTGGCCGCGAATCAGGCATGGGGCTCTTGTGAGATTC